GGATATGACGAATCGAATTCCGGAAGTTCAAGGTTAAAACCCCCCCGATTAACACAGCAAGAGTCAACTAACAAAAATTTTTCAAATTACCACTAATTCGTCTCTTTTTAACAGGTTGAGGGGGGGGGGGGGGGGAGGGGGGGGGGGGGATTTTCAGGGCATGTGCATCGTCAATCATGGTTGAATTTTGAATTCGATTTACCTTGGACATCGCCGCCTGGGATCGCATGTGAACAGCCTGAATGAAATAGCAGAAACCAGTAAAGTAAGCAGAAATCAGTAAAGTAAATTCCTACAGGTAAGAAGCTGTGTAGGGGAAATACCTGATCCAGGGTTTTAGGCCCATCCTGGTCACTCTTCTGAATTTCGCGCTTGTTTGCCAGGATCTGATTGAGTCGATTGCATACATCGTTGATCTGATTCTCCTTGATCCCTTCGCATTCCAAGAGTGGTTTGACAAACGTTCCAACCGGGTCTTCATCCTCGTCAAGGTATCCTTCCAGGTAGTCCAAGATCACTTCGTCCAACGATGGGATCAGTGAGGTTATCAACGATGTGGCCATCCCGATCTGCTTATCTGATTGTGGTTGTTGAATTTGTTTGCTCGGCAAGTTTGCCAGAAGGATAAGAAAAGTCTCCGCTTGACTCAAAGGGTGGTGGGGCCCTGTGAAAGGTCAGATCGATGACAAGTAACACGCATGTCAACCAAATGCATTATGTGATTACATACTGCTCAGGTCCATTGGAAGAAACTTCTCAACCAACACTTTTGGATGTTGTGGAAGAATGTTTTGACAAGCTGAATTGAATTCTCCAACATCAATAAGGCTGTTCATGATGGCCCAAAATTGCTGCTTGTTTCAACTAGGTATGCATGATTTGTGGTAAATTTTAAATGGGGCCTTACTGCTCTCCAGGAAATTGGCAAAGTGTGAACCCCCTTAATGCTGGGAAGGCCTGCACATGTCATGATGTACATACAGCGCCTTGACAGAAAAAATGGAACCCTTTGGAAAATGAGTTCCAAGAAAGGATTCTGAAAAGTTGGATGTAAAAAGTTTGGTAAAAACTTTGTATGCCTTTCCTGGTTTTTTGAATTTTTTGGGTATTCTTCAATCATTTTTCAAAGTAGCTCAAAAAATCAGGTTCAACACAATTTCATGCAAAAAGAATGCAGATTCTAAATGAAAAACTGAAAAAGTTGATCAACAGCTGTTCTTTTGCAGGTTTGGATTGTGTCTTCCACCTAGACTAACCCTACAATCAGGCAGTGAAATCAAATTTAATTCCAATCTCAGTCCAGCTTCTTATGCTCTCTAAACTTTGGATCATTATTTTTTTTTAACTTTTCATTAATGATCATTCTTTTCACATGCAATCATGTTGATGCTGATTTTTTGAGCTAATTTGAAAAATGATTGAAAAGTACCAAAAAAGGAGGAAAAATTTACAACTTTTTTATAAACCTTAATTTTTCTATCCTAATTTTCAGAATCATTCTTTGGAACTGACTTTCCCCATCTTCACCAGGAAGCATAACTTTCAGTCCATTGGTTTACCCTTGTGACTCTGATCAAAGGGTTGCATTTTTTCTATCAAGGGTCTGTACACTCAAACCTGTCCAAGGGCCCCTGGGAGAAGGATTTTTGAATGCCTTTGGACAGGTTATACCCTTGGAAGGAGTGATTTTGAAGTAAAATCTAATTTGGGGTGGATCACCTCACTACGGTCATGCATATAGAAAGGTCTGCCCAACAATAGGCCAGTTATGCTAACAGTAGTGTTAGTGCAGTGTAATGTGGTGGAATTCTGCTAACATTTAGTGCAGCACAGCAGAATCCCACCAGCGGTGGGCCGCTACGCTACACTACGCTACAGGCCCATGTAGTGTTAGCGTAGCGGCGCCATTTTTTTTTCATGTAGTGTTAGCGCGCTGCTACTGCCGCTGCGCTACGCTAACTTGTAGTGGCGCTAACACTAGCCAAATTTTGGTGTAGTGTTAGCGCACCGCTGGCGCCGCTACGCTACAGTGTTTGTAGCGGCAAAAAACACCCAAAAACCGCTAAAAACGGCTGTAACGCAGCGTAGCGGGCGGTTTTTTGCGCCCTGTGAGCGTAGTATTAGCGCACATGGGGGGAATTGCGCTAACGCTACGCTAAACGTTAGCGCAAATTTTTCCCCCATGCGCGTAGCGTTAGCGCAGAAATTGAAAAATGCGCTAACGCTACGCTACATTGTAGCGCTTTTCCGCTACGCTAACGCTACAGTTAGCGTAGCTGGCCCACCGTTGATCCCACCATAAATCTGCTAAATCTACACATACAGGCCACAAAAAAGGGCCTGCTACGCTGTGCTACAGTGCAGTTTAGCAGTTTTTGGTGTTTTTTTGATGCTAAAAGGGTGTAATGCAGCCTAGTGGGACTAACAGTGTGCTAACAATACAGGGTTAGTCCACCGTTTTGAGGGCTGCTATGATAACATGAGTGGGTTTTTCATAGTGTCATATAGTGTCCCATTGCTGGTATACCCATACATACTTCAAATCATAAACATTCATTGCCATGATATGTACAATTTCAGATCAGAGAATAAATTCACATTTTATTATAGAACACTCTCATCAGCATTGTACACTCTCAACAGCCAAGAGCAATCCTCCCGGCTGTCAAGAGTGTACACTCTTGATGGCCAAGAGAAGCCCTCTCAGTTGTGGAGCGTGTACCCTCTCCACAGCCAAGAGGAATCCTCCCGGCTGCCAAGAGGTTATACTCTCGACAGCCAAGAGGAATCATCCCGGCCGTCGGAAGGTTTTTTTTCTTTTTTTGCAGCCGACTCACAACCCCCCATAGGGCTTTTAGAGTATCCACTCCCAAAAACCCCTGGGGGAATTCAATTTTTTCTTATTTTTTCTTATCTTTTTCACAGGTCCGACTTCTAAGCAATTCAAACCTCTTGGAGGTCCGACTCCCAAAAAACTAGGGGAAAAAAATCAGGGGGTCACCCATCAACGGGCGGTCCTAATGAAGTCCCAAAAATTTGGGAGTCGGAACTCCAAATTTTGGGAGTCGGTTGACTAAGACCCTCAATCTATGCAGTTGATGAAACATTTGTGTCTTATTTTGCATTATCTGCATAACTGGCTGGGATTGGTTCTCTATTATTTTAACATCAATATTCAGAAAACAATCAAAAACTTTGAAATATAAACACATACACAGGGTGGAAACAAGTTGAAATATAACTTGGGCTGCATCTGGATGAACCACCTAAATAATCAACGTAGGCCAGAGCCAGAGTTATTCCTTTGAAAGATCAGGAATTTTGACATGCAAAAAATCAGGGAGTAGATTTTTAATGGAAAGGTAGGCTCATCCACCCCTAAATTCTAGTTTAAAAGATATATTTTTATATTATGTGATAACAGGGTCCAATTTGGCTGCGGCCATTGCTCTTTTCAACCTCATTACTCTAGTTGATTGGAATTGTGTGCATAGGTGCAAGGTAATACTAATATAGATAATGATGGATCTTTGAAGCAACTATTACCTTTTTTTTAATAATCAGATATGCGGGATTGTGTTTTTGTTGCCCCTTAATTGACCTGACATCATGCAAGCCTTTCAAATTCTGCAGCTTAATTCTGTGAGAAACATCTTTACCCTGTTGAATACCCCTCTGCTGATGTATATGTTTCTAATAATAACAATGGGCATTTCAACCTTCTAATCATGTTCAAGAAATTTTTGGGAAACACAATGGATTACTTAATCTTAAGACTTCCCTCTGGTAAGGAACAAAATACTATGGGTTGGGATGATTGATTTACATTGACTCAACAGGCTTTTATGGAAGTTTTGCTAGGAACACCAGCGGAGCTTTGAGGGCACTCCCCAGTGAGTGCCATATCCTAATTCTGTGTGAGTTTTTGTCTGAAGTTTGTTTGAAGTCATGACTATGTTTTTGTTGAACTGTTTCATTATATAACAAGAACTATAGAACAACCTATTTATGAAATAATATGTAATTATTCAATGCCAACTATCATTAACCTTAGTTGAATTCATGCTGAACTCTAGTTCAACTCAGTCATAACTTTGTTTCTACATTGTCAATTAAAGTACCGTATATGAGGGTGACACAGTTCAGACACCAATCAGCTAGATCTTCCCCTCTGGTCTGAGAAGTGTGTGATATGTCACCGGATTCAGATTGCGCTTGAGTGCAATCCGGTGACATATCACACAACCCATCACGCACTGTTCAGAGCAGGAGGGCAATGTTCACTGGGTGGATGAGACCTGACCCCATTCAGCTTGAAATGTCCCCTTGGGTTGGAAGTTTTGTGACAAGTGTGTGATTTGACCTCCTATTGTATTGGGCCCCATTCATCTGGACACTGCCCTCTGGCAACGGTGGGCCGCTACGCTACACTACGCTACAGGCACATGTAGCGTTAGCGTAGCGGCACCATTTTTTTTGTGTAGTGTTAGCGCGCCGCTACTGCCGCTGTGCTACGCTAACACTAGCCAAATTTTGGTGTAGTGTTAGCACAGAAATTGAAAAACGCGCTAACGCTACGCTACATTGTAGTGATTTTTCGCTACACTACGCTACGGTTAGTGTAGCTGGCCCACTGTTGCCTCTGGTCTGAATTGTGTGTGATTGGTGTGTGATATGTCACCAGATTCTTCTCAAGCACAATCCGGTGACATATCACACACTGTTCAGACCAGAGGGGAATACCAACTGGTTGCATGAGGGTGTCACAGCTCAGACACCATTCAGATGGACAGCCCCTCTGGTGTGAAAAGTCTGTGATATGTCACTGGATTGTGCCTTAAGCTCAAGTCATCCATATCATTAAATCACAAAGACCACTCACAGCCCAAATCTATGGCATACTGGCAGTTTGAGTGCTGAAAAAACTGCCCAAGTCACAATATCTCCTATTTTTTTGGATTTTATCTATAGCTCCTGAAATGATCTTGTCCCATCTTTGCATGCATATAATTTTATGGTTAAATACTGTTGGAATCAACAGGGTCAGAGTCAGAAGTTTGTGGAAGGATATTATGCATTGCATTAGTTAAGAGAGAAACAAAAATCAGAGAAAAAGAAAAGAGAAAGAGAAAGAATAGAGAAAGAATAGAGAAAGGAGTGAATACATACCTGGGTCAGAGTCAAGGTTTGTGGAAGGATGAAGAGAGGAATCCTTCCAAGTACTCTGGCCCAGGTATACTTTGGATGTAGTGACATATTTGTGACAAGAGTGATGAAAGGTGAGAAGCACAGAGAAAATGAGAAAACAGAGAGAAAAAAAGAGTGTAATGTAGCGGCCCATCATTGGTAAAATTTAAAACATTTTTTACTATTTTTTGGAGGCTGCTTATGGCCTGGCCCTGAGGCACAGCTGAAAACTCTACTGTATAATTGGGTTAGATTTTGCTTTCACGAAACAAAAACTGAACATGAATAAACAAAATAAATGAACCAATGTAATAGAAATGAATTGGACAAGGGATCAGATGCCAAATTTCTTGAATTTGATCTCTTCTTTATGATTTACTATAACCGTAGCAATAAATTTGGAATACTCCTCATCAGTCTTGAAGTATTCATTCCAAAATGTTGGATTTTCATTTTTGAACCAATAGCCCAAAAGCGCCAAAGAAGCTTCTTGATATTTATATTTCCTTTTTGAGTGGAATTTTTGAATGACTAGTGTTTGGACATCATCATATTCTATCTTGGAAAGTTGATTCAAAGCAGATCTTTCAAATTTACCAAAGATTGGAAACTTTAAATTTGGATGGTTTCTACCATAAAATCTTTCAGAAAACCACTCCAGAAAGCCTGACTGGGAAATCTGATCTGGCTTTGACCCTTCAGTCAAAAGATGAGAAAATATTAAACCAGAGTAATGTTCCAGACTATCACAGATATTCTTCACCTTTATTTTGATCTGAGATTTTCTCACAATTTTTTTGTTATTTGGATACACTGGCATTACAAAAAAATGATGGTGATTGAATTCATTTGTTGTAATTGCTATATCTAAATCCTGAATTGTTTCTGGAAAATCAGTTGACAAAATAGGGTATTGTCTTGAAAGACTTGTGCATTCTTGTATAATTGAACATGAAATCTTCTCTTTTGCAGGTTCAACTTTGCTCAATGAACTATCCATCCAACTCAGAAAATTTCTGTTTTCCACATTAATGTTTTTTCTTGGCTCATGATCATAAACATCAAACAATTTGAAGTTCCCAATCTCTAGAAATAATTCATGGTTTACCTTCCAAACCTTTTTGAATGCTCCACAATGTGTGAAATTGATTATCTTATGAGTGGAATCATTAGCAAAGGGCATTTTAGATTTCACAGCTTCTAATCCTTTCATTTTACCTAGAGATATAGAAGTATCTTGTTTGGTCAAATTATTTGAAATATCACAGCTAGAATTATTGTTTCCATCTTCCCATTTATCAGAATGCATCTGGAACCAAATCCTTACAATTTCCAGGGACAATTCTTCCAAAGACTCTGGCTCTTCAAGAAGTTTCATCACCCCAAACTGAACTGGACTAAATTTTACTTCATCTAAAATTTTGACTTGTGTCCTGCCCATGAGAGGAATTTTAGTTTTTGGATTGAATACCTCCCCAAAGAGCCAGTGCATGATTTCCTGGAAGTCAGAGTCCTTGGTGGAAAGATGATTTGTATTGAGTTGTTTCCAAAGGGTGCTGTGTGTTTCATGCAGGCTCAAGTGTAAATCTCTAAAATTCTTGATAAGTGTCTCAGTGTTGAACACTTCCCCTTTTGAATTAAAAGGAACTAAAAACAGTGATTCATATCCCAAATGATCCTTACCAAGTGGGACCACAAGAAAATTTACAGACAGGTTACCAATCTTCTTGACTTCAACCGGAGAGATGGGCAAAAGCAGAAATTCATGATATAATTGATTTATGGTAACTCTATACAGTTTCTCATACTTATCTACTAAATGATTCAAATGTACTTCTTTTTTGTTTTTTTGTAAAGAATTTGATGGCAATTGAGAAGTGTCAATATAGGATGAGCTTGATAGATGACTCTTTGGAAGCAAAGTTTGCATATGGTCAAGGGGATGAAGTAGGACAGGATTCAACAGACTGTTATCAGAACTGAGATACTGTTCAGTCATTTTATCCTCTCTTTCGGGGTTCTGCATACATGGGGGCAGGTATTCTGACTCCTGTTTTGGGCCTTGGCTGAGCGCAGAAAGGTTTTCATGATTGTTGAAAAAATTATCCAAAATTTCTAATAGTGAGTCATTGCTTGATGCATCAGTTGGGTCCAATTCAGGAATCAAAAACTGGTCAACTTTTCCTTGAGAGTTTTCTGCTGTGCTTGCAAAAGACGGGCCGCCCATGCACAATTCTGCATGTTTGTTACTAGCCTGTTCAATTTTTGATTTCTTTTTTAGTGGTGCAGATTGGTTATTGTATGTTCTTTTTGATTGTTGGCTCTGCATGGCTGATGTTAGTCCTTCATTCAAATTACTCGGACCGTTCTTGTTGTGAGATTCCGGCATTGTCCCGGCTGATTCCGGTTTGGAAATTGATGTGATCTCTGGGCCATGACTCCCCCGGTGATCAAGCCATCCTCGCTCCAATTGGTTTACTCCTTTACTGACACCAGACTGAGCCTTGTTTGATGATTCAGTGAATTGAGAATCATTGATCAAATTTTCCATTTCCAACTGGTACCAGTCGCTCCCGAGGGAGGGTGGGGCCACTAATTTCTGGACGCCCAACAGGAGGAAAAGTAAATGGAAGAATGACATGTTGAGCGAAGAAGGGTATGAAAATCAGATGATGAGTGGTAATCGGTGATCTCTTGAAATTAAGGGGATGCGAACAAAGATATCAGAATTGAAAGGGTCGATTAACTACAAGCTTGAACTGATTTGACAAGTCTCGGTAAACAAAACATTGCAATGATCTCAACTGACTCATGTTGTCTTATCAACAATGCGAGTTCAGCCTTCTAAACAAAACCTCAAAAACGTTCCACGGTACAGGTTTCTAGCTCTCAAACCTCCCCTCAGACTGGATGCACAGTGAATCCACGAGGAGTAAGAGTCCGCAGATGATGGAATGGCGATGGCGAGAAGAATGGAAAAAGGTAAAAGTGAGAGACTGACAAATGCTGCAGTCACTCGCGGAAACGGAACAGAGAATCTGATATAAAAACATGTCTGGCCCTTGAGTAACCTGCAAGGTACACCGGTCATAAGAACACCGGCTGGCCTCATAGCCTCGCTGTGGGATTGTAACGTATGTACCGAGGGTAGGGAGCCTGCGGGATGGTGCTGGCCCTCCACACATAGAAGCACTCAGGCAAGTTGGTGTCTGGCTCTACAGCAAGTATTGCGCACGTCTCATCCCAGTAAACTCAATGATGTGACGATATGCATTTTTACTACAACAAACAACGTCGTCTCCAACCGCAACATCTTAAAACTAAGAATACCAGCACCGAAACAAATGTCAAAGTTAAATACGTGAATGGTCAAATGGGTAATACTACTAGAAATGTATTTATGTAGATGTTTTATTACCCGACAATTGTGCTGTGAATGAATACACTTTTGAGCTGACAGCGAGTCAAAAATTTCATTCTGCTTGGCAAGATCCCACATTGAGTTTCCATGGCCTTGCAATGTGAAAATCCCTTTAAGCAGACATCAGATGAACGTGAAGAAAGGTGAAACCAGAAAAATAAAAATCATGTTCTAGGTATGTGCGGGGTAAAATTTAATATTTTTTTTTTTCATCTCTTTGTTATGACTTGACACAAATGGCACATTGAGTGTATCAAGAGAGATTTGGGATGGTCGTCGAGATTTTAGTAAGACGGAACGCTATAGTAAGCTGATATTTTACGAAAAAGATGAGATAGAGCACCGTGATCTACATGCAGCCGCCGTGACGGCATCAACACCAAAAAGGAAGAAGCAATCTTGCGGAGGGCTCATTGACGTATTCGGGCCAATAATATAGAAAATGTTTTAGTTAGCTATATCTGGAGGTCTTGGACGACTTCCGATGGATAAGACGGCCCTGGGGGTCGCTCGTCGAATGATCGGTATTGATGTCCCGACTGCTACCTACTAGTACCCCATCCTCGTTGATCTCGGTTTTGATCCGTGGGGGTTCGTCGAAGAAAGCGTCATGTTCGCGATCCTCGGGGTCATGCAGAGATCGAGGGTCATTTTCAGAGGTTGAAGAACTATCCACCTCTGTCGTACCCAGAGCAGGAGTTTCATGTTTCAGGCGATTCTGATTGGTCGGGCTATGTGGTCTACCGGAGTAAGACTCTTCTTTGGGGAATGGTCTCAATTCAGGCGACTTGCTTGGCGATTGACGATAAAGAGCTGCCCCCCAAGTGACAAATACAGCCATAAGCTCGGCGATGAAGAAGAACACCGAAAAAAAGCAAAACGAAATGTAAGGATGGTAGTAACGCGCCCATCTGTTATAAGAAATGTGATGGATGAACCACATTAGTGAGCGGGAATAGACTTAGATTAGATTGTGGAAATTCAACATAAAGGCATACCTAAGACCTTCCAAATGCGCATCAAAAACCAAAGCAGCTTTGTAAATTTGAAGCTCTCCCCAGCCATTACGCTCGAGTAGTAAAGTTGGTGAGCTGTACACATCCTGCCGCCCCACATCGATCGTAGCATGGGAAATTTCTGTGCGCTTGCCAAGAGAACTGGGATGTATGATGCGGTGCTCTAGAAGAGGTACTCAGACGTGCTGGACAGAGCGGGGCGAGGAAAAGAAGAAGAGGGTTCGAATTGAAGGTACTAACTCACTTTCAAAGTCTTTTTGGGTCAGACAAATCGCCTCAAAAGCCTTCAGCCAATGTTGTCCAAGGTCATACGTTATCTTACGGTAATTTAGCAGGTCTTGAATTGCTTCTTGAACAAGCGTGAGTCGTTCTTCTGGACGAGTCAAGGATCCATATCGCTGGAAGAATTCAACAATCACGGCAGGTTTTGATTGCGCTGGCTCGCTCATATATATTCAATTACGCGGACTACGGGTTGGTATCAAATTCACAAACTCAGTTCTCTGCAAGATTGGTAGCATTTTTTTTACTCTAAGAACTACTTACGTCGGTCTGTCAATCGTTCGGGGTGCGGGCCAAGCTTATGATATTCCCCTGATTTTTGAGAACCATGATTGATCAAGTCAGCTTGGTCGGATAGAGGAAACATTTTGATACAGATCATTCTACTTACTCTGCAATTGCCAGGCATCATTCGGCAAGGACTCGTCCGGCGGATGCGTCTCTGGAAGATGAACCGATTTTGGCAGCGGCTCCGGGTGATCTGATTGAAGTTTTATTGATTACTGGTTCCAAGTATGAAAGGCGATGGACATCATAATCACAGTATGGATACATACCTGAATGTGTGCTTTTAATGGTGGGAGAGAATGTTCTTCACTTGGAAGACCACCGAGCTCATTGACGCTCAACAATGGATGGGGGACCTCAGGCGGATGGAAGAGACCGAGGGGTGGTGATGTGGGCGGTGAGACTTTGATACTAGTAGCTTCGCCAGCCAGTTAAATCAGGCTCGTCAGAAGGCTTTTGATCATTCCATACGCACAATGTCCGATCAGTGGCTCCTACTGCCACTTTATCGCCAGAAGCATCCCACGTAGGCGACCGTAATTGCTGGCATGACAAACAAAGCAAACCGAAAAAAGTTCCCTTGAAGGTAAGCTTTGTCTACTCAATCAATAAGCTCTTTTCGACCAGTGAACCAGAACTTTACGTTATCAAATCCAGCTGGCGCTCCTAACAGCGTTTGTACCAGACGAGGGGCGTTCGGGTCATGTGTACTGGTAACTGGAGCAAAAGGCCAAACGTGTCACTGTCAATTGACAAGTGAGCACAAGTGGGTATAGAATGTCAGATCAATGATTGTAAGATTAACTTGAGATAATAAGTACTCACGATTCGGACAGTGTCGTGAAACCCGGCGCTCAGCAAGAAGCTTCCGTCTGGACTTAGCTTGAGTCCGGCAATCGTATTTGTATGAGCTTGCAGGCTCCAAAAGACCTCTTTCTTACGGAGATCAAAACAATGAATATCATTATCCAGCCCTCCGACAAAGATTGGTTGACCATTGGCACTCCGTTCGACAGCGGTCAGAGGATAACCAAGTTTGAAGGAATCCAGGGGGTTCTTGTCATCCTTGTGCCATATCGGTACCGTCCCATCGTCTGAAGCAGATGCTAGTAAGTCCTGTCCACTAGCTCCGGAAACTGCGATCGAGTTGAGTAACACCCCATGGCTGCGATGTCGACGAACAACTTGATCAGTCTTGGGATCAAACGCAGTCAGGGTCTTGTCGGCTGAGCCGGCGTAGAGACGCTCCAAAGGACGTAGGGGCAAAAAATCTATTGATAGGATCACCCCTTTGGGGCCTTTTAAAACACCATAGTTCCGGCACTCTTCCCCGTAAGCCGACCATAGATTAGTCGTTCGATCTGCAGAAGCCGAAGCTGCAATTTAGCTTGCATCTCATCATACATAGGCTTAGGGACATCTGTGCTTGGGGCTCATGACTTTAACACCTCAACAGAGCTACCCCGTCTCTCTGTGGAATAAATATTGATCATTGATAAAGGCTAGATTACTCTAATACACATATATTTCAATGCCACTTCCAAATAAGCTGGGATTAACTGCCCGCACAAATAGGAAATCGGTTAACCTAGTTGCATGTGAAGCAACTCTTGCATTAGTTGCGGTGGAGTGCTTGCCTCTTCGATGAAACTGTGGGGCCAAGCGGGCCAGAAAAACCAGTGTGGGTAGGGGAACTACAACTCGGGTAGGGGAACGACGACTCGGGTCGGGGAAAGAACTGCAGAAACAGCTTTCAGAGTCTAGGCTGATGAGGGGTTGAGGCTTGATCATTGGTTGAGGTGTGGTTCGGAGGCTTCGGTACCTGTGGCAATAGAAGAATGGATAGGGAGTAAGTAACCCAAGTACAAATTATCAGTTGATTGGCTTCATACAAGTGAGAACTCACCTTCATCAGCAAGGTCCAAACTCTCAAAGTGGGCATCGAGGATCATCGAGGAGTAGCCTTGTGCCTTCCTCATCTCATCCATCATTGTGACCAGATGCTTTGCGAGTTCCTTCTTACGGATATCCCATTGACCGGAGCCTGAGGAGCTGTATGAAGCTGGAGGTTGGTAATCGAGTTGCAAAAGCGCTTGGGCATCTTCAAGAGTAAACCCCAGAAAAGTGATTGGTGTATCGTCATCGCTGAAAAAACGGCTTGTTGATTTTAGTAGATCCATGGTAGGAAAGAAGAGCTCCCAATCCCCTTGCTGGGGAAACCATTTGTTCAAGACTGATTTGGTTCGGATAGGATCAAAAGCATTGGCTTCCTTGAAACAGTCATAGACATTGAGTTCCCACACCATCATCCTCTCTAAGTTATCAAATATTGGATTGGAAATAGTAAGAAGTATCTCCTTGACTGAATCCTCGATGTTGTGCGCGAGCCAGGGCCTTAGGTTCCAGTGCCTGTCCAACTTGAGTATTTGGTTGGATGAAAGATCACTGAGGGTCGGTGGTGTAGTTTCTTGAAAGCTAGTTGAGCCCATTGGTTCTTTCTTAGAAGTATTGCAGAAAACCGTAAGTCCAAAGGCTGAAACAAACTACAGACACAGCAAATTGGTTGAAATTCCAGCCTACTTACCTGGATGTCAAACGTAAGCTGAGGAGTGTTGTTGGCGGTAGTTTTTTTGACTTGATCCATTGGGATTTCTTATATGTACGAAAAAGGTAACAACAAAATGATCCTGTGGCTTTGTTTTGCTGACCAGCAAAGTCTTGACGCCTGTTGAGATGGCAACTTGTAAGCGCATCCTGCCATCCCAGCAGGGCAGCTAGTTGGTAGGCTAGCCAGCCACCTAGGCATTTTTCTCCTGTCCATTCTTGTTGTACCGGTTGAGCTCAACCACATGGATAATTAATAAGAACGTGGCCACAAGAACAGAGCCAACATCGTGGGCCATCAGGCTAATTTTGCTGACTGGGTGGAGCAAGTGTTCGTTGCTGCATGTTTTGATTAATTCACACATGCTGCCTGCCACAGTCTATTCAGCTTCCGATTCTCACCAGTTGATGCGATATCTAGTTCTCATCAAGCAATCATAAAACCTCTCGAAATGCTCAACGCAACCGACTTCAGAAGATTCAAATCCGACGTCCAGCAACATCTGCAGCTGGAAGCTCAAAGGAAACAGCAGCACGAGGACCATGTTGAGGAAATCGATTCAACATTGTAAGCATGGTAATCCATAATTTGAGTTTTTAATAAGTCAGACTCAAACCATTTCTCTTTAAATTGTAGCCATCACCTTAATCAACATCCTTCGGCAACGTTGCTCAGCAATCGAAATCTCAAGGGAAGTGCTAATGAACTCCGGGTGGCTTGTGCTCTTGGCTCCAGGACTTCAAACCGCTTGTTGGAATCAAGCTGCCAAATCATGGAGGCCTTTCATGATAGCTTGCTCCGCCGAACCATTGCGATCAATCTGGAGTACGAATTGAAAAGGCAGCTATTTCCAACCCTAGCAGACTCATCACCCCAACGATCCCAATCCAGTTTTATGAGTGTCAGAGAAGCGAAGAAGGAAGACCCTGAGCGCGCCAAACGTATCTTGAAGGGATGGTTCACCTCACGACAAGACGAGCATCAATTCTGGGCTGCGATGCACATTCTCAAGAGTGTTTCTTCGTCAGTCCACCCTACGAACACCATCAAAGGGGACCCCATGAACGTCTCAACCACCTGCACTCTTTTGGAGCAAGACTTTCTCCCGGCCACAACTTTGCGTGACCAGGGCAGATCACTCAAATGGGACCGCAAGAAGAAACAGCTGATCCGCCGATTGGTGACCAAGCTTGGACAAGCAAGTCCAAGTGATGGTAACACGACATTTCTCCATAGTCGAAGTTAGGTTGGAGTATCAGTAAGTCTGAAATACCAATCAGTCATCCTATCCTCTTATCCCTGGGTCTGCATATAGTTGGGTAGGTCTTCTGACTTTGATTTTTGGTCTTGGCTGCTTCCATTTTGAACTGGTCACAGTCGCCTCCGAGGGCTAGTGCCACTAATGTCTGGACGGCTAACAGGAGAAAAAATAAATGAAGCATCTCATGTTTCTCCAAGGAGGGTTTTAAATGCCCATCGTATTGTAATCGATGGGCCTAAGGAATGGCGGGACAAATGCTTTTTGAACGTAGTATTTAATTGGCTACAAGTTGCCATTGCTTCATGAACCAGGGTTTCTCAACAAACACTTATGTATATCATGTGGCTGGTCCTAATGACAATAATGAGGAATGAAAGAATCCTCATAAAAATATGAACATTCCACGGTACAGGTTTCTAGCTCTCAAACCTCACCTCAGACTGGATACACAGTGAATCCACGAGGAGTAAGAGTCCGCAGATGACGGTATGGCGATGGCGAGAAAAATGGAAAAAGGTCAAAGTGAGAGACTGACCAATGCTGCAGTCACTCGCGGAAACGGAACAGAGATTAATCTGATATAATATACTTCCGATATAAAAACATGTCTGGCCCTTGAGCAACCTGTGAGGTACCCCGCTCATAAGAACCCCGGCCGGCCTCATAGCCTCGCCATAGCATTGTATGTACCGACGGCAGGGAGCCTGCGGGATGGTACTCGCCCTCCGCACAGAGAAGCACTCAGGTAAGTTGGTGTCTCGCTCTACAGCAGGTATTGGAGGACTGCGCACGTCTCATCCCAGTAAACTCAATGATGTGACGATAGGCATTCTTTACTACAACAGACAACGTCGTCTCAAACTCAATTCAGCCGCAAAATCTTAAAACTAAGAATTGTACCAGCATCGAAACAAATGTCGAAGTTAAATAAGTGAAGGGTCAAATGCGTAATACTACTAAAAATGTATGTAGATGTTTTATTACCCGACAATGGTGAATGAATACATTTTTTGAGCTGACAGTGAGTCACAAATTTCATTTTGCTTGGCAAGATCCCACATTGAGTTTCCATGGCCTTGCAATGTGAAAATCCCTTTAAGTAGACATCAGATGAATGTGAAGAATGGTGAAACCAGATAAATAAAAATCATTTTCTAGGTATGTATGTGCGGGGTAAAATTTAATCATTTTTTTTTTCATCTCTTTGTTATGACTTGACACAAATGGCACATTGAGTGTATCAAGAGAGATTTGGGATGGTCGTGGAGATTTTAGTAAGACAGAACGCTATAGTAAGCTGATATTTTACGAAAAAGATGAGATAGAGCACCGTGATCTACATGCAGCCGCCGTGACGGCATCAACAACAAAAAGGAAGAAGCAATCTTGCGGAGGGCTCATTGACGTATGCGAGCCAAAAATATAGAAAATGTTTCAGTTAGCTATATCTGGAGGTCTTGGACGACTTCCGATGGATAAGACGGCCCTGGGGGTCGCTCGTCGAATGATCGGTATTGATGTCCCGACTGCTACCTACTAGTACCCCATCCTCGTTGATCTCGGTTTTGATCCGTGGGGGTTCGTCGAAGAAAGCGTCATGTTCGCGATCCTCGGGGTCATGCAGAGATCGAGGGTCATTTTCAGAGGTTGAAGAACTATCCACCTCTGTCGTACCCAGAGCAGGAGTTTCATGTTTCAGGCGATTCTGATTGGTCGGGCTATGTGGCCTACCGGAGTAAGACTCTTCTTTGGGGAATGGTTTCAATTCAGGCGACTTGCTTGGTGATTGACGATAAAGAGCTGCCCCCCAAGTGACAAATACAGCCATAAGCTCGGCGATGAAGAAGAACGCCGAAAAAAAGCAAAACGAAATGTAAGGATGGTAGTAAAGCGCCCATCTATTATGAGAAAAGTGATGGATGAACCACATTAGTGAGCGGGAATAGACTTAGATTAGATTGTGGAAATTCAACATAAAGGCATACCTAAGACCTTCCAAATGCGCATCAAAAACCAAAACAGCTTTGTAAATTTGAAGCTCTCCCCAGCCATTACGCTCGAGTAGTAAAGTTGGTGAGCTGTACACATCCTGCCGCCCCACATCGATCGTAGCATGGGAAATTTTGGTGCGCTTGCCAAGAGAGCTGGGATGTATGATGCGGTGCTCTAGAAGAGGTACTCTGACGTGCTGGACAGAGGGGGGCGAGGAAAAGAAGAAGAGGGTTCGAAGGTACTTGAAGGCATGAAGCACGCGAGCAAATCCAGGCTCGTATACTAGAGAAGCGTGGCGTGAGCTTCGATGGAGGGTGGTATTATGCGGTGGAGTCGTGACAAGGGAAAAATGAACCATAAAGTTGCCTAAGAGCTCCAATAGAATAACAACTTGGCAGATCAGCGCGGATTCAGAAACCACGAAGAATAGATACATAGTAAGTCGCTGACCCATATTCATGTTGCGATCATTGGTTGGGACGGTGAGATGAAGATGCACATCGTATGCCTGATCAATCGTGATCTCAGGTGCGATGGAAGTTAAGTCCATGACAGCATATGGTACCCGAGCTTCCCTGTAACATAAAAAAGCGAGTAGGCATCTGGTAAGACTGTTCGTAAGAGAGCCAGAGAGTCATAGAATACTAACGTACCCGTAATGCAGCCAAACGGGCAGACGAAATCCCACGTGAGGAACATAGGCCCGGTAAAACGTTATGTAAGCGATGATACTAAGCAGCAAGCTGATGATGAAGATAAAGCCCAAGATAATCGATCCGAGAATGGATCGATGTGTATGGGGTGAGACACAGAGTCGATAGAAGAAATTGAAGATGAGGAAGATGTAAGTAAACGGGTTAAGGTAAGAAAGTACAACGAGGACTTGATCTGCTACAGCGAAGACAGGCGAGGCCAAGCGGTTGAGAAAATCTTGAAAAGTATCGATTTGGGAGCTTAGCCAGTCCTTCATTCGATCATCGGGAGCAAGATTGGTGCGAGCTGGCATACTGGATGGAGTTTTGATAGCAAAATTCGATGGTTTGAGGTAGCTGGGATGGAAGCTTATAGTGTGGCTGATCGTCTCGGGTCTAGATTGTAACCTGTTGCTAAATTATTTAACTATAGACTGGACAAGTGAGCAGACCAATAAGTTGAGTCGAGGAAGATTAAGTTGAGACTAGTCATGAAAATTGAGATAGCAAGGTTGGGGAATGCCAAGATGAGATTCAGATGGTTTTACAAACATCAATTAGGGGGATGAGAGAGACGGGTTTCCCCAGTGCAAAATATAAAACACTCACCACCCAGAATTTCTGACTGGAAGAATGGTTTGGAAGGTGATCGGAGGCCAAGTGGTGCTTTATTTATCCTTCCTTTTGGAATTCAGGAGCGGTTGACGATGATGAGCTTTAGTAACAAAAAGAAAACAACTTGTTTTTATCAGTTAATTGACAAATTGAAATGAATCCAGCTGAGTTGAATTAAGCTTACCGACCTTCATCAAAAGTGACACATTGTAGTCATCCAAAACCCAAGATGGGGAGGATCGCCAATCTGTGAGTTTTACACTTCCCGGTCAGGGGGATGATATCTTCGAGCACCTTTCGACCGAGATGTGGTTCCGTTTCCGAGTTCCTGAGCTGGACGATCGTCAGTTTTGGGGGATATCTGGGAAATAGTTTCCACGACGTAGGACCATACGAGATAAAAGAGAAAAGCGTTGGTCAATCTATTCTTCAAGCGGGTGGTCATGACGATAAACGTTTGACCCCAGATGAGCTTACCAATAATGTATGGAGACCAGATTCCTTCCCATCCAACCGTTCGACCGAGTATGAAACCCCACTGGAAATGAGGACGGTACTGGAGACAAATAAATATATCTTCTTTATAAGGATTGAGGGTCGAAGTACTTTAATCGGACCCAAGTGGTAGTCAAGTCGGGAGTCAGCAGCCAGCCAGTCATGTGGTTGTGCACACAGATATATGCGGGGTTGATTATGACGTCACTCAACCCAGAGTCCGATACTTTCATGAACCGGTATCATGTAGTTAGTCAAGCCAGCTCAACCTCAGGCGGCCTCATTTCACATCCATCATGGCTGTCTGTCGAAAATCATTGGCCAAGAAATGGCTATCTAGCAAGCCCACACAACCAGGCTATAGTGCGAACCTCTGGACGGACGCGTTCCTCACGAGGAGCAAGGTGTGAATGCTCGGACCAACCATATCAGCCACTCGACTATTTTCAAGTCCATCCACAATCCTACCTTATGTATGAGGAACATCTCCAAATACCCACCGCTGCTCACCGGCATCATCCGACGATACTCGTGCCGTCTTCGTGCCTTGGAATTTGACATCAGCACTCTCCGCGCACTTTCGAGGTGATTGCATTTGATCAGTTGCATTTTCCAGTGACCAGCGCCAGCTTCCCCTGCCGATGGGTCCATGTGCAGGTACAATATGCCAAGGTCAGTAATCTCCGACCTGGCTAACTGGCCACGCGCAATGAGCGTCGAGTATCCAGTCAAATTTCACCCACCTTTTTCACCCACAACAAAAATTGATAGATCAATTCATCACTGCCATGGCACTACCATCAGGAAGGTGGTGGCGGATCTGCATACATCGCAACATGCAGTGCCAAGTGGCCGAAACTTTCGACTTTTTCTTGGTTTTCATTCAGCCGCACCCCAGCTTCACCCTCAACAGCTGATGAGATTTTTTCAGCAGGTTTTCCTGGTGTCGATGAGGGTAAGAAAGACAAAAGCGGCACTGGCAGGACCAAAAATTTGCACGGTCACTTTCACCAACTTCATACGTTGTGGGTCCAATTTTATTTTTTGAAAAAAGAAAATAAACAAAATTGCAGACCACAAGTGGCACTTTAGACCGATAAACAGGTTTAAGTCTTAATTTCAATTCGAATTTTGATTTCATCTTTGAGTTAGAGCGCAAAAATTAAACTTGCAAGTGAACAATCTTCAATCCCATTGTGAATTTTTCAGTGTGAATAATGATTTACAACTTCCAGTGCCAAAAATATTATCTTTCAAGCATTTTATATAAGTGTTTCTCATCAACAAAGGGTGCCATGCCTTCGAATTTGATCAACAACAGATTTTAAGCCACAACTTTTACAAATCCATTCAGGAAAAACCTCAATTCTCAAGAGGCAATGAAGCTACACTATCTTGTAAAGAAAAGTTTGTTTAGTTTTTTTGCTAGAGATACTTGTACTTGATTAAAATGTGTGGATCTCTTGACAGTCATCATATCCATACTCATAGCACACTTCATTATGGGATAGTTTGAAATGAAGCACTGAATTCCTCAGGCTCAAGATAGGCCAATCAGTTTTCAAATATTCTAAATGCAATTAATCAGTTCAAGATAAATTCAACAAAATTTCAGTAACTAGACTGGAATTTTTTGATATCCATTTTTTTCAATAACTTCCTTGGGAAAATACAAATTTATCAAGAAGATCCACAACTTTTTTGCCAGTGTCCACTCAAGTACCTGACATTTTATCAGTCCACAAAATTACCTTTTATCAGCCATAAATTGCTAACTGTATCACTCATAAGGGCCTGCAGAATCTGTGAGTAGGATCAGCTCTGAGCCTCTGTGCCTGCCATACTATTTTTTACTATTTTTTACATTTCATTCTATCAGTAGCAATAGTATAGTGTTTGATCACTGTGTAATATCTTATTCCAGAAACTTGAGACAATCACTATGACTTCAAGAAAAGGTTGAAAATTCCTTTGATTTGAATGTGATATTACTAAGGAGCCTTTGGAATGTTTAAGATCTTGGACATGTTTGTCTTACAAGTTACAGTGAATGATAATTATAATCAAGAATATGATGAAAGGTGGCACCTCGCGGCGGTGCACCAGTCGCGACTCGCGAGGAGAGCCTCTTTTGGCGATCGGGGGCCCCTCGTCGGGGAGACTCTCTTAACGGTCGGAGGCACCTCGCGGAAAAAGTTAAAAACCTTCGCACTGCTCTCCTCACTTTCCTTCTCGTGTCCTCCGAGATGGACCAAATTCAGGATCTTCCCTCCGAGCGCTTGACATCAGGGCAGCACCACGCCTCGACGGCTGCTTCACTGATCAGTGGTAGCGTGGGTGGAACGATGCAGGTCTTGGTTGGTCAACCGCTGGTAAGTCATTTTACATAGCCTCCTCATTATTTGCCTAGTAGTGATGAAAAGATAATGATCCACTGATTTCATTTACATTCTTTCCTTTTAATATGTTTCGCCACCATCGCTCGTCAGGATACTATCAAAACCCGCGCCCAAATAGCTTCCCCAGGAACGATTACTGGCCCGATGGACGTTGCGAGAAGGACATTGGCACAGGAGGGTTTCTTGGGCTTTTACAAAGGTATCACTCCGACTTCTCAGTTGTCTCGTCGGATATATTTATTTGGACGAAATTCTTGATTGACTGAGATCGACCAGGGACCTCCAGGAATGCTATCGCCCTTGTTTGGGGTCGCAGGAGTCAATTCACTTCTCTTTGGGGCATACGCTGTATCTAAGCGGATCGTTAGTCCGTACCCCGATCTCACTGTTCTTCAGACGGCTCTTGCAGGTGAATGAACCAACTCACATAAATGCTGCCTTGAATTCACGCTGACAATTTCTCCTTTAATTCGATCATGTAGGTTCGATGGCAGGGGCCGTCAACAGCGTGCTGGCTTCACCGGTGGAAATGTTTAAAGTTAGAATGCAAGCTCAGTATGGGAAACCCAACGATCTGAGGTCAGGTTGGAAGGCGCCTCATTTATAACGAAAAAGGAAACTTACGGTGCTCAATCTTCGCTTAGACTACGAGAAGCAGTGCGCTTGATGTGGGAGGAATGGGGTTTCCGCAAAGGAATCATGCGTGGTTTTTGGGTGAGGCAAGTTTCCTCCCAGTCCCAAAAGTACTATCAACCAATCACCTCGCTTGTCATAGGTGACTGTTGCTCGGGAAATCCCTGCTTACGCTGGTTGGTCTCATTACATGACTATCTGTCTGGAGGATCTCTCAAGCACCAAATCTTCTCATTTAAATGAATATTCAACGAATTCCAGGATTTTATACGGGATTCGAGGTGAGCAAACAAGCCTTTCAAAAGCGATATGGCTCAGCACAGACCTTGCCAGTCTGGACCCTCCTGTGCAGCGGCGCCATGGGTGGGATCGGATACTGGACTTGCTGTTACCCTCTAGGTGAGCTTCAAAAAGCATATCTAACTTGAGTGAATCCCATGAAAATGTGTATTGCTGTAACTAAAACTCTTTTTGTAGATGTTATTAAGAGTCGGATCCAAATGGCAGACCGGCCACCTAAGGGCATCAATTACATTGCCGAGACATGGCGGAAAATTTGTAAAGAGGAAGGCGCGTGAGTCACCTTTTCATGTAAATCATACGTCCGTTTTTTGAGCATTGTCACTCAGTGAATCTATGCATTCACTCGCAATTTCAGTCGAGCTTTGTTCCGAGGATTGGCGCCAACTTGTAAGTTTTGCCTTTGCTGGATGTTATCAGCTCACGCCCAACTGAACTGACTTGATGATTTTAACAGATCTTCGAGCGTAAGATGTTCTGTTTTACTAAACATCATTCTACTATCCTTAGAGCTAGATCAACACAATGCCTTGCTGATTCACCGCGTGAATCTGTCTACTTTCTCGGATTGTAGTGTTCCGGCGGCTGCTTCAACATTTGTGGGCTACGAGTTGACAATGGAGTTCCTGAAAAATCACACCAACATTTGATCACACCACCACAAGATCAAAGTAAAAAACGCGAAGGAAAAGCAGTTGATCAGATAAGGGTCGCTCCTTTGCGTGTGCCTCTTACACCTCCATTTTGAATTACTCGCTGGGATCCTTATCTTCACAACAGATGCCAAAGTCCTTATCACCAAGACCATTTACAGACAGCTTATGTCCTTGCTCCCTTGGCTTTCCTTGTAATCAGAGCCATAGAGATATTCCAATAATCACGCGGCTGTTTCTCTTGTTATAAGTCTCTCCAAGTTGCAATTCTACTGACGCTAGCTCCTAGTCCAAGTTCAACACCTCTGGAGACATACTCTTCCGCTCGATCAGGTGTCTTCATTTCCTGGTCAACTTGGGATTTCCTTTCCTGCTCAACTGTGACCCCCTTTTCCATTCTTGAGTTCAATCGTCCTAGATGCTTCTACTACCGTACAACCCCAATTGCATTACTTTGACCTGCAGTATTTACTTCCCTTTTTCTTGTTTCTTTGTTGTTTCTACCCTGATCAAGTCAATGTCTCACTTTGAAAGCTAATATTCCATAACTGCCTAATCATCTCACCACCACAAATGACTGGAATGTTGGGCCATATATATGGACTGTAAGATTGTGAACTGTTGCCAAGTTACTCCTTAATCAGACTGGTATAGACTGATTTGGCCAATACCATGGCCACCTGCAACATCTGGTGGCTTAACTCAAATCATGACAAGTTGAACAAATGTGGCTCAATTAGAAGTCCCCTACATACCAATTGGAAAGAATTTAGTTTGGGGTTTTCAATCCTGCTGAACCTTCCACCCCAATTCTTTGGTGATGGACAAATTATACAATAAAAAAATATTACAAAGATTTCCTTTGCCCAGGCCAAATTTTGCAGACTGCTCCTGTCAGCTATGTGTAAATAATATAAAAGCCAATCACTATCACTGTGCTGAAGGAATATCAAAGGAAACAATACTCTGTGCAACCCTCAACATGTGGTCCATATATCCACAGAGGTGAAGTACAAGCTCTGTTATGATTGAATGTGAGGAGAATAAACAACAGGGAATCACAAAGATCAAGAATTGGGCTTAGACAAAGTTAAGCAATAATATTTTCTGTGAAGTATCTGACAAGCATTTGAGCTGATTGACTACTTGTATGAGGTGGAAGTCATGCCAATTTTTTTTAAGGAATATTGAAGAGGGATGAAGGGGAACCTTCAAGGTTTATCACTTATCATTCCATTAATGAAAGGTTGGAGATTGGGGATTGGATAATTACTCTAAATGTGGGGAGAATGTTCACCATATCTATTAACTTGGTCGTGGGTTAATATGCTGAGGAGCCAACCTACATACAGAAAGGTTCTCCTTTTGTCAGCCACAGAGTACATGTCACAGTACCTTTCATGTACCAAGTAACTGCAACACCTGTACTTATGTACATAAGTACTTATCCATAATGTTGATTACCTTTACCTCTTGTTATCTTATTATTATCATTAACTTATCTTATCTTATTTACCTTAAATTTATCTTATCTGTTAATTACTTATCTATCAAATACATACCTGTGTTCTACATAAGTAATTATCACTTACCTTTCACTCCCTTGTCCGTGAAATACCTGTACCACAAGTGATCCCCCTGCTACAGTATTTTCACGGTCAAATATTATTACAAATAAATATGTACATGTATTAAATAGTAAGTATTAAGTGCCAATAGAATTAATACATTCAATACATGCACTGATCACAATTATGACTACATTATTAGAGGATCTGTTAAGTACACATCAAGAGCAACTAGTACATTGATCAACTAGTACACAATTATGATGTCACTTACAGATCATGACAAATAATGATCAGTCACTCAATTGATGTGCTCATTCTCCTGGCCAAAGCTCCCTTGATTCTGAGCGCTCATTCTTTCCCCCCTTCAGTATTCTGGAACTTATAATCCGTGCCTCCTTCACTGATTAATCCCCAGAATATTCAGACACCAGTTAAACCAGTTAACATTTATATTGATACAGTACACGTAACCAACATAAATCTTGTCTACATTTATTGTTCTTAAGCTTCAGTACTCTTACTCAACTTATCCACAGTATTCATAGCCTTGCTGAATATTCCCATCAACAATACCTGTTAATCTTCAACTAATTTTGTTAAAGCTTAATAAGTATTGTTAGCCCATTCCCTTTTGGGAATAACCAAATCAATCCCAGGTGAGTCTTAGTACCCTGGATGCCTATTAATACCTTGTATTGATCCGGATGCGCTGTTGATAGCAAGCCTCTCAGTAAAGACCATACTGATAGAGTGAAACCTCCTCTTTACAGGACTGGTATTAATCACCCACTACCTAACACTCACCACGCTCAAAAACTTCAGTCAACTCATAGTACCAACCTTTTTACTATTAAATACTCAGGTTAGTTACCCAGAGGCTGACACCTTTTATATTCTAGAGGTACCCTTGAGGGAATGACCAAAATATTCCAGAATGTCTTTTCAATGCACTACAATACAAATGTTCCAAGGGAGGCTCCAGATGCTGCCAACCACACCTAGGCTCCTGTCCTTTTTACAATAGGTTTCAGACTCTGAGTTATCATCAAATTCCTATTTGTATTAAGAGGAATGAGATTCAGTCTCAAATAACCAGGACAATTGCTAAGTTAATAAAGTTCTCTATAGCCCTATCTCTCTAACCTAGATTGATTCAAATTCTATTAGCCCCCCCCCCCACTTTGATTAGAAATGAGGATAAGTATGAAAGAGTTCCTGTGATAGTTGAAACATTAATTGCAATATTTTTAGAGCAAATAGAACACATCAACACTTCAATCAAAATTAATCAGGCTAATTAGCTGTGAGGTGGAGGCTTACTCTTTTAATTGAAATACAGCTAACTGGTCAACTGAAGGGCCAGGACCCCGGAAATTTGTCAGCCTTAGAGATCCTCAAGAGTATCCAAAAGACTGCTTAATAATATATTACTTGTAATAATAATAAGAAAACCTAGAATATTATTTTATAAATGAACTTTTCATAATATTTTAGAGGGGGTTGCTCACTGGAACCATCCCCAAATTCCTACTCCTTCTAGGAGTTTGTCACAACTCAAGAGCCTCAGAGGCTAGTAGGAATAAAAACATAAAATACTCTAAAAATAATATAAAATAAGGGCCTTAATAAAAAAACATGGTTTTTCCGCATTTACACACGGTTTTGCTGCGGCACAGCACACACGGTTTCCGCGTTTAAACACGGTTTTGTAATTAATTTTTTACCGCTTATTTTTCAAGTTTTTTTGAATTTTTAAAGTTGTTTCCTACACTATAAAAGGCGTAGAATTTGAATTTTAATTAGGGCATTAATAAACGTACCCGGGTTTTCCGCGTGTACACCCGGTTTTGGGGGTGGGTGGCATACCCGGTTTTCCGCGAGGAAACCCGGGTTTATTTTTTATTTTTTTTTTATTTTTTTCTTGCATACTCAAGGACCGGCCACAAAGCCGGTCCACCGTTCCACGATGGGAGTAGACTCTCCCATCGTTTTTGGGTCACTTGGTAGTGGGCATCTGTGCCAAGAGCTCAAAAGTCTCTCAAGAACAGCTCACCAGTCTATTCACCACTCTTCATCTAGATTTAATTCCCATAAAAATGTAGATAATCGAAATGCAAACAACAAAGTAATTAATAAGCAGATAACAATATAACCGAGCGACTTATTCAGGAAGGTGAGACTGTTGATCCAAGATGGCCTGAGCAGAATCGATGACCTCGAAGATTGTCGGTCTGGCTTTGGGACCGACCACCAGCATCGATTTGATCAACTCTTGAAAGCGGTCACTATAAACCCAGAGACTTTGATTTGAGTTGTTATTGTTCCCATTAGGATTTGGATTCGAGCCTTTGGTATTCGGGAACTTCCAGGAGCCGTTCATCACTGCCAACACCATAGAGCCACCTTGCTCGGCCGTATCCGTCGTTTCAAATGGCGAATGCCCATACGCTAGACAGTATAGCACACATCCTAAGGACCATATGTCGACCGCTTCTGTCAGATCTTCTCCCGTCTTGACATCAAATAATTCCGGCGCTTGGTATGGCATCGAAGAATGTCTATTTGAACAGTCGATGCGAACAACAGTCAGTGTCATAAGTCACTCAATCAAGACTTGATGGATTGGGCATAGGGGATGCAGAAGAGTGACTCAACTCGGCAGCTAAATCTTGTTGTTGAAGAGCAATAGATCGGTTGGGGATCGGGATTCGAGCTTTGATCGCGCTCCCAAAATCCATCAGGATAGGTTGGTTGTCATTGCTGATGAGTACGTTTTCCGGTTTCAAATCACGATGCGCCCACGGTTTGATCGATCCGGAATTGCGTTGTCGAGATCGAGGCCATTTCTGGTTGTCGATGGGACTACAGACCTCCCATTGACGGCCAATGATGGGAGAGTCTACTCCCATCGTGGAACGGTGGACCAGCTTTGTGGCCGGTCCTTGAGTATGCAAGAAAAAATAAAAAATAAATAAAAAATAAACCCGGGGTTCCTCGCGGAAAACCGGGTATGCCACCCACCCCCAAAACCGGGTGTACACGCGGAAAACCCGGGTACGTTTATTAATGCCCTTTAATTATTAATTATTTTTTTTTCACTCATTTCTCAATAGAGATCGTTCGTCGGTACCCGTTGCTAGGTACCTAGTACCGCTCGGCGGGTACCGCCCGCACCCGCCTCGCACCCGCCAGGCGGTGCCGGGTGCGGTGCCGGGTGCCGGTTTTTTGGCAAAAACAAGGCGGTACCCGGGTACCGCTGCGGGTACCGCCTTATATCCCTAACATAGGGGCATGGTCATGGAGGGGTGAAACCCTCCATGACAAAGGTTCTCTGTCATGGAGGAGTGAAACCTCCATGACTGAGGATATATCCTCGGTCATGGAGGAGTGAAACCTCCATGACTGAGTATGTATCCTCGGTCATGGAGGATTTAACTCCTCCATGACCGAGCGGCGAGGATACACCCTCGGTCATGGAGGATTTGACTCCTCCATGACCAAGGATACACCCTCGGTCATGGAGGATTTGACTCCTCCATGACCGAGGATACACCCTCGGTCATGGAGGCTTTGACTCCTCCATGACCAAGCACCTCGGTCATGGAGGATTTGACTCCTCCATGACCGAGGATACACCCTCGGTCATGGAGGCTTTGACTCCTCCATGACCAAGCACCTCGGTCATGGAGGATTTGACTCCTCCATGACCGAGCGGCGAGCATACGCCCTCGGCTCATGTAGTATTTGCCTTCCTCCACGCGCAGAGCATACACCTCGGTCATGGAGGATTTGACTCCTCCATGACCGAGGATACACACTCGGTCATGGTTTTTTTCAGCTTCTTGCTGATGTTTCTCTTATTCTATTGTTCTGTTTTTTAACTTTCCTTTTGGACTTTTATGAGCAACTTGCTGATGTTTTTTTTTTTTGCTTTTTTTTAATAATTTTTTGGAACTTTTATAGGTAACTCTTGCTGCATTTTTTTCAGCACTTTGCTGATGTTTCTTTTCTGTTTTATTTTTTTTTCTTCTGGATTTTATTCTTCCAATTAGTTATTAGTTGTAGATAGATAAATATGAAAAAAAAGAAAAAAAAAAAGTGACTTGTCTGGCAGTGTCAAGTGAAATCAATAATTTTCAACAAAATGAAAAAGTGACTTGCAACTCTGGGAGTGACCACCAAAAATAATAAATAAATATGAAAAAATGAAAACAAGTGACTAAAAAATGAAAAAAAAAGAATTGGGACTCTGGGAGAGAAAATAATAAATGTGAAAAAGATACAAAAAGTGAATTGGGACTGTGGGAGTGAATCTAGGTGAGAAAAAGAGGGGGGGTACCCGCGGTACCCGCCAAAAGTACCGCCGGTACCCGCCAGGAGGTGCCTGGTGCGGTACTTGGTACCTATTTTCTGAAAAAATTCAACAGGTACCTAGGTACCAACAGGTACCCGAGTACGAACGAACGATCTCTATTTCTCAATTAATTGTTTGCAAACATGTTTGTACCTTATTTTTTATGCTTTTTTGAAATTTTTAAAATTTTTTCCTAGGTTTCAATGTGCGTAGAACTTAATGGTGCAATCCAATTTTTTTAAAACTCAACGGTTCTTTTTCAATACTAAAATTAGACCCATTTTTTCACTGAATTTTTTACAGCTTAATTTTCATCATTTTTTGACATTTTAAATTTATTTCCTACACTTTAAGACATGTATAAAATTATGGTAACAACCATTTTTCCCCAAAATGAAAACTATACCTTGAATGCTGCATTTGACACGTTTCTTTAATTAATTCATCACTTTTTCACCTAATTGTTTGCATACATGTGTGTACCTTATTTTTTTATGCTTTTTTGAAGTTTTAAAGTTGCTCCCTACATTGAAAAGTGTGTAAAATTTAATGGTAACATCCAATTTTCTTAAAACTCAACGGTTCATTTTTAATACTGAAACTAGAGACTTTTTTCAATTAATTCTTGACATGTTATTTCTCAATATTTTTTGACATTTTAAATTTATTTCCCACACTTTAAGGCATGGTTAAAATTATGGTAACAATGAATTTGCATCAAAATGAAAACTATATCTTGAATACTGCATTTGACACGTTTCTTTAATCAATTCTTACACACTTAATTATCCTTATTTTGTACTAAACTTTGACAGGTTTTAAAATTGATGGCTGTATCCATTTTGCAGTCAAATGAAATTTGTATATGGTACAAATTATGCAAGAAACGGGGTACACTCATCTATTAAGATTGAAGCTTATATTTTTAGTGAAATTGGACTTCACCATTCAATTCTAAACATTTTTAAATGTAGGAAATAAAATTAAACTTTCAAAAAATGATTAAAATCAAGCCGGTAAAAACCAATTAAAAAAACATTCAAAAAAACATGTCCAACACAGTATTCAATAACAATCTTTGGTTTTTATTCAAAATGCGTGTTTTCATCATTTTAATCATGTCTTAAATTGTGGGAAATAAATTTAAAATGTCAAAAAATATTGAGAAATAACATGTCAAGAATTAATTGAAAAAAGTGTCTAGTTTCAGTATTAAAAATGAACCGTTAAGTTTTAATAAAATTGGATTACACCATTAAACTCTACGCACATTGAAACCTAGGAAATAATTTTAAAATTTCAAAAAAGCATAAAAAATAAGGTACAAACATGTTTGCAAACGATTAAGTGAAAAAGTGATGAATTAATTATAAAAAAAAACGTGTCAAATGCAGCATTCAAGGTATAGTTTTCACTTTGGGGAAAAATGGTTTTTACCATAATTTTAACCATGTCTTAAAGTGTAGGAAATAAATTTAAAATGTCAAAAAATAATGAAAATTAAGCTGTAAAAAATTAAGTGAAAAAATGGGTCTAATTTCATTATTAAAAATGAACCGTTGAGTTTTAAAAAATTTGGATTACACCATTAAATTCTATGCACATTGAAACCTAGGAAAAAATTTTAAAATTTCAAAAAAGCATAAAAAATAAGGTACAAACATGTTTGCAAACAATTAATTGAGAAATGAGTGAAAAAAATAATTAATAATGAAAATTCATTTTTATGCAAAATGGTTTTTACCATTAAATTCTTTAAAATGTAGGAAATAACTTTAAAAATTCAAAAAAAATCAAAAAATGAGCGGTAAAAAATTAATTACAAAATGTGCCGCAGCAAAACCGCATGTAAACGCGGAAAAACCGTGTTTTTTTATTAATGCCCTAAAATAAAGATAAAAAAAAATATTAAATTTACAGTTACAAATATAAATTTAAACTATAATTCAAAGTGTAGAAATTGCCACCTTTGTCAAGTGTGTGGTAATTTCCATCAGTATTATTCTATTATAAGTAGACACATGATGTAATTGGCTATAACAATGCATCATGATGTCATGGGGACATAGATAATACTGTATTTAATATACTACAATATTCTCATTACATCATGAGAAGAATTACTATTGTAGTACATTAAATAAACATTCTAGAATATTCTAAGAATGCCCCCAAGGGGGACCCTAGAATATAAAAGGAGGCCATTCCTGGCCTAAGATTGGTTCCTCAGCATATTCACCCACAGCATACTTAGTAAGTACAGTGAATATTCTCCTCCTACTTTTAGAGTAGTTATTCCAATCCCAATCATCCTTTTACTACTGGAATTATTAGTGTGTAACTTTGAAATTCCCCTTTCATCCCTCACTAAAATTCCTTATAAAGCAGTTGCTGCAAGACTACCACCTCTGACAAGTAGCCAATCAGCTCAAGTGCTTGCCAGCTTCTTCTTAGCAATTATTATTGCTTTAAAATCCAAACTATAACAATTTATTAATTGTTATAATCTCCTGTTATTTGGTTCATTAGAAACAAATAAGCTTAAAGGAGTGTGGACTTAACCTTTGCGGAATTTGGACCACATATAAAGGGTGAAAAAGAGTAATCTTTTTCTTTGATAGTCCTTCAGCACAGTGATAGCACCTGGTTTTTATATTATTTAAACCAGTGTAGCATACACAGAGCTGACAAAATTCCCCAACAGGCGGGTGGTGGAAATTTCCATATTTTGATGAAAGTCATACCCAGGGGCCTCTGGTGTCAGCTATGTGTATGAAAATCTGGCTTAATTAATATTAAAGCCAGGTACTATCACTTAATTCAAAGACTAAGATTACTCCTAGCCACCCGCAAACAATTAAGTGGTCCAAACTTCCCACTTAAGTGGTTCCAAGTTCACACTCCTCAGTTAAAGACACTTTGGATAATCAAAGGAGCACTGTAGGATAAAATAAGTTAATAACAAGGTCTGTTATTGCAGATGATTTGGAAGCAATATTAAGTATTGCAATAAGTAGCTAGCAAGCACTTGATCTGAAAGGCTACAGTCAGAGGTGGTGGTCTTGCAGCAACTACTTTTTAAGGAATTAACTAAGAAGGGAATCTGGGATAATTCTGTACTTCTTAATACTAATTACAGTGATAAGGTAGGGATGGGACAATGGGGAATGGGATACACTACTCCAAAAGCAGGTGGAGAATATTCACTGTACTTACTAAGTGTACTCACTGGGGGTGAATATGCTGAGGAACCAATCCTAGGCTGGAGATGGCCTCCTTAAATATTCTAGAGGTCCCATTGAGGAACATATTGAAATATTCTAGAATCTCTCTTTTAGTGTAAACTACCATGGTAGAATTATTCCCCTGATGTTGTCAGCCACAGAGCACCTTTCACAGTACGTGAAATGTACCTAGTAACTGCAAATAACAATAACTAATTGAATACGGGAAAATATTATACATTGTTGTTAAAATAATAAATAAATAAATATGTATTTACATTTAATCTCAATTCATAATTTATATTTAATAATTCTATAATTAACTGTGAAA